TCTGTGTAGCTTTGCGCCTTTCCGGGAACTCACTCTGTAGACCAGGCTGGCCTCGAACTCACAGAGATCCACCTGGCTCTGCCTCCCGAGTGATGGGATTTGGCGTGCGCCACCACTGCCTAGAAACTTAATTCTTAAGGAAGACAACTGCTGTCGCTAAGATTATCATATAATTATGTCACTAAACAGTATCTTGTTTGGTTAACATTTACATTCTTTAATAAGGAACAGTATGCTTTGCTGATACTAGAACAAATATGGCATCAGAAGTAATTACTATTGTTGGTATATACAAGCATATCCAAGTCTGAGACTCACACTAGAAAAGATGAAGCAAGGACTACTCTTCACTATTACAAACTATGAATCTTAAATCCACAAAGACTGGAAGTATGGAATATTTGTAATTACTAGTGTTAAAAATGCTAACGTTGACAGGGTAGTGGTAGTATATGCCTTTAATCCCAGCACTCAGGAGGCAGGGGCAAACGGATCTCTGAGTTTGAGGCCAGCCTGGGCTACAGAGTGAGTTCCAGAACAGCCAGTACTACACAGAGAAACCCTGTCTCAAAAGAACAAAACACACACACACAACACACACACACACACACACACACACACACAAAACTGCTAAGGTTGATGTTTCTAAGTATTTATGTTCTTGGATCAATAAAGAAAAATTAGAAGAGCTTGCTAAAATATTCAGGATACACTGTTAGGTTCCACTGTCTAATGAGATAGTTCACTCCCTTCCGTCTTAAAGAACCCTAGCCTAATTCTTATGAAGACAATGCACAGAGTAAGAGATGTTAAAGAATGTACCTCATCATTCTTCTCTTGATTTCACTCAAGCATTTTTTTAACAGTTTTTCTTTTTCTTTTAACTGGTTAATAAATTTGACAAGTAATTTTGTATTCTAAAACATTCTCTTGGGCAATCTGCAAAGTAGACTGACCAGCTTTCCACAAACTCACAGAACCAGTAAACTATACTACCACCCTCCCCTAAGGACTGCTAGAGTCACTTAATTCGTGGCCACCTGTTACCTGAGTTGTCCTAAACTACTGACACTCTGCCATAAGCTTGGGCGTTAAAAACAATCACCTTGGCATGAAGCACAATCATAGCTGTTCACAAAATCAAAATTGTCTCTTTAAATATAAAAAAAAAGTGATATACAAACTAAATCAGCAAATTCACTGCAATATTGTAAACAGCCCAGCTCACAAACTTTAAAATTCTAAAAATAAGTCCCATTTAAATCTATAAGAGAAGTAACTGTGGTATCCAATAACATAATTAGTAAGCAGGTTTCTTTTTTTTTTTTGTTTTACTTTCAATGACCTTCCACAAAAGCCTGTAATGGAAGCCTTAAGAACCACACAGTAAAGGTGACTGGGGAGGGGATGGAACAATGGGGTCTCAATCCATGGAACACTTGAGTGACCCACACGAGTTATAGAACATGAGTGACAAAAAACACTTCATAAACCAGTATCTGCCAGGTGTTTGCATCTCCACCCATCAGAGCTTCGAAGTTACATGCGGCTCACTACACCATGAAGCTGACATCAGTTTGCATTTTACCTAGTATCGATAATTACAGATGCAACTGTCGGAAGTTGGCCTTGGTTACACTGTAGCAAACTGACACAATGCCATCAACCCTTTATACAGGAGCAAGTGCTTCAGCAGCCTACATTTTATATAT